TTTGATCATTGGACGGGCCATTAGTGCGCGTCGTCTCCAATAGTACTACACAGGATAAGAAGAATCAAATTAAAAGATGAATGTGATACAAGTAGTGTGCAAAAATTAAGTCTTCTATACTTACATGATCTCCAGTGCCTGCTAAATGAATGCACACAGGTCTGTAATTGCCATTCCATTTCTTGGGCATTATGAACTGAAATCTAACCAAAAAAAAAATACTATTTCATCTATGAAAATAAACACACCAATTAAATGAAACTTCTAAGTGGCCACTATACTGAAAAAGAGTAAGTATGTCCTTAACATTTTCTAGCAAACAATTATATTCTATTCATCAAATGAAGAACACATTAAAAATATATATATTTTTTAAAGTAACATGTGCTCACAAGGAGTTAAAGATTATTTTCCAAACAATATTACTTTGTTAGGTGAAGAAGGTAAGATGTACAACAAACATGTGCAACTTAAAGGCTATACCTTGTACAGGAGGGATCGAGTAGATAAGAGGGGTGGGGGTGTAGCTCTCTATGTTAAGGAAAGCTATGCGACCCTGCAAGCTGATATTGATGACCAGGGTGAACAACTGGAGACGCTCTGGGTTGAAATCCGTGGGGAACACGGCACAGGGGACACAATGGTGGGAGTCTACTACAGACCTCCCACCCAAAGTCAAGACCTTGACCAGGAGTTCACCCGGGAACTGGATGAGGCCGCATGCTCCAGGACCATGGTTGTCATGGGTGACTTCAGTTACCCAGACATCTTGTGGGAGGATCACTCAGCAAAATCCAAGCGGTCACAAAGCTTCCTCTTGTGCGTGGATGACCTCTATCTGACTCAAGAAGTCTACGGGCCAACGAGAGGTAAAGCACTGCTCAACCTGGTACTGGCTACTGGGGATGACCTAACTGGCAACCTAGTAATCAATGGGAAGCTGGGTGACAGCGACCACGAGCTGATCACCTTCACCATCCACCGTAAAGCTGGCAAGTCAGTCAGCAACACTGAAGTCCTTGACTTCAGGAAAGCCGACTTTGACAAGTTCAGGAGGCCCTAAGGGACCATGGCCCCAGGGGGAGGGGAGTTCAGGAAGAGTGGTTGCTCCTCAAGGGAGCGATCCTCAATGCACAAGCTAAGTCTATTCCATCTCAGAGGAAAGGCAGCAAGAGGGCACAGCAGCCCCCCTGGCTCTCCAGGGATCTAGCAGACCTCCTAAGGCTACAAAAGGCCTACAAAGGATGGAGGTTGGGATTCACTTCCAAGGAGGAACATTCTGCACTGGTCCGGTCCTGCAGGGAGCAAACCAGGAAAGCCAAGGCTGCAACGGAACTCCAACTAGCTTCGAGCATCAAGGACAATAAAAAGTCCTTTTTCAGATATGTGGGGAGCCGGAGGAAAACCAAGGGCAATACTGGACCCCTGCTGAACCAGATGGGGCAACTGATGCCCAGGAAAAAGCCAACCTATTAAACGGGCACTTTGCATCAGTTTTTCATCAGTCCCATGGGACGCCCATGCCCACCACGGGACAGGGAGGTCCGGGTGAGGGAGATGCCCTGACTTCCATTAATGCTGACCTCGTGAAGGAACACCTCAAGAGGCTAGATACCTTCAAGTCAGTCGGCCCTGACAATCTACACCCCAGGGTACTCAAGGAGCTGGCGAGCATCGTAGCACAGCCTCTGGCACGGATCTTTCAAAAATTCCTGGCGCTCTGGTGTAGTGCCCAAAGACTGGAAGAAGGCCAATGTGATGCCTATCTTCAAGAAAGGGAGGAAAGTGGATCTGGCTAACTATAGGCCCACCATTTTGACTTCTATCCCAGGGAAGAAGTTAGAAAAGCTTATTAAAGAGGCCATGCTTAATGGACTGGCAGATGCCAACATCCTGAGGGATAGCCAACATGCATTTGTTGTGGGTAGGTCTTGCTTGACCAATCTCATTACCTTCTACGACCAGGTGACACCTGGACAAGAGAGAAGAGATTGATGTCATATCTTGACTTCAAAAAAAAAAAGCCTTCCATCTGGTATCCCACGATCTCTTGGCGAAACTGGCCAATTCCTGCCTACTTTGTAATGATAACTCATGTTTACCATGTACTAGGCATGGTAGTAGATGGAGTTTGGGCCTCAGCACCTTCGTGCAGTCCTGTTATCACCATCAGGATCGGAGCACAGACAGTAGCACCTGCATTCTTGTACTCTGGAGTTCTTAATTTCTTTCACTGGATGTCATGGCACATTTCATCTGCATTCTTCTTTTTTCTACATTCTCCTACCTGTAATTCTTTTAAAACAACAAAGCCCTTCAATCTGGTATCCCATGATCACCTCTTGGCGAAACTGGCCAATCGTGGCCTTGGGTTCACCATGATTTGATGGCTGGGAAAATTGGCTCCGTGGTCAGACCCAGAAGGTAGTAATTGACGGAAGTCAATCATCATGGTGTCCTGTGACCAGTGGGGTCCCCCACGGCTCTGTCCTTGGACCCATATTGTTCAACATCTTCATTAATGATGTGGACATTGGAGTCAGGAGTGGACTGGCCAAGTTTGCTGATGACACCAAACTTTGGGGCAAAGCATCCACACCAGAAGACAGGAGGGCGATCCAGGCTGACCTGGACAGGCTCAGCAAATGGGCGGACGAGAACCTGATGGTGTTCAACACCAAAAAATGCAAGGTTCTCCACCCTAGGAGGAAAAACCTGCAGCATCCTAAAGGCTCAGCAGTGCTACGCTGGCTAGCACTACAAAAGAAAGAGACTTGGGGGTCACGATTGACCACAAGATGAACATGAGCCTGCAATACGATGCTGCGGCTAGTAAAGCGACCAAAACACTGGCTTGCATCCATAGATGCTTCTCAAGCAAATCCCAGGACGTCCTTCTCCCCTTGGATTCGGCCTTGGTGAGGCTGCAGCTGGAGTACTGCGTTCAGTTTTGGGGTCCACAATTCAAGAAGGATGTGAAGAAGCTTGAGAGAGAGTCCAGAGAAGAGCCATGCACATGATCAGAGGTCAGGAAAACAGACCTTATGATGACAGGCTGAGAGCCATGGGGCTCTTTAGCCTGGAAAAGCGCAGGCTCAGGGGTGATCTGATGGCCACCTATAAGTTTATCGGGGTGACCATCAGTATCTGGGGGAATGCTTGTTCCCCAGAGCGCCCTAGGGGATGACAAGCTCGAACGGTTATAAACTACTGGAAGACCGTTGCAGGCTGGACGCAAGGAAGAATTTCTTTACCGCCCCCAAGGTCTGGAACAGTCGGCCATCACAGATGGTTCAAGCACCTACAGTGAACACCTTCAAGAATAAATTGGATGCTTATCTTGCTGGGATCCTATGACCCCAGCTGATTTCCTGCCCTTTGGGCAGGGAGCTGGACTTGATCTTCCGAGGTCCCTTCCAGCCCTAATGCCTATGAAATCTATGGAAGTAAATGTGGATTGCATAAGCAACAAACTTTTTCTTTTAAGTGAGACCAGCTAAAATGAAAGATTCAAGATGAGCAAGAGAGATAAACTAGGAAAAAAAAATACAATTAGACTTTTCAAAACAGGTTCAGAGTACTTCACTTACATCTATATCAAGTGCATAATTCACTTAACCTTATACATCAGTCCCAGTTTTTTGCCTGTTGCTTGCATTCTCCAACAGGCATTGATAATCCACATTACTGCTGTGGTTTGGCTTCACTATCTACTCTGCAATATAACTGTACTTCTTTTAAAAGGCTATTGGTGAAAGTGACTCAGGCCTGGTAAAACAGCCAGCAGACCCTATCCACTTTAAAACTGCTACCAAAGCAGAACAGGAAGTAAAAACATTTAATAAGGTTCTAAAAGCTTAGTGCAGACTGTTCCGGTAGTTTCTGAACATTGTTCAAGTTGAGCTTGAACAGATGCATACTCCAGGTAAATACATAGGGTTTTTTCCAGCTACAAGGCTATGCATTTAAACCAGCTTCCCTATACAGTACTCTGGTTTAAAATACCCCCAGCTTCCGTATATTCTAGTTTAATTCCCCCCACTTACCAAAAACACAAAACAATCAAAAAGACCATTTTTTCCCTTAAACACCCTTCCCCCAGCTTATCTGCCCTATTCAAGCAAACAACCGTTGAGCCCCTGGGTCTTTCACCACACAATGGGGCACTGTTGCAATAAAAGAAGTGTTGCTTCGAAGGAAAAAACATTCACTTACAAGCTAACTTAAACAAAAAATGTGAAGTGCATTCAGGCTATTAAAGTACTGCCTAACGCACAGAAATTTCAAACTAAATCCAATATTTTATTTATGTAAGTTATCTTGAAAGCAAGTCTAGGTTTCTTAAACAAGTTGAATAGAAGGGAATAGATGAAAGATGACACCTGTAGCTGCCACTCTGCAAGTATATGAAAGCACACAGAAACTATAATTATAGTGCACATTCAGCTGTGGGATCAAGACAGGAATTTTAAGTAGCAATGCTTTTACATCAAGCAAGAGGGAGGAAAAGGCAGTATTACAGGGGACACTGCATTTTTTTTAAATGGAGTTTTAGAAGGCATGGCATCTCAGACGCATAATACTGGCTCATTGGAGCTATTGATGTGATAACATTATGTTCCTTTGCAGGGAGATAACTGTTCAAAATTAACCAAAACAAAATTAAAGCAAAGTTTGAAAAGCTTCAGATACCCACTGACAAGAAGTCTAATTCTTCTAACTCAGGAGTAAGCAATGTTTTTTGGCCGGAGTGCTGAAAAACACCACAATGCCTACCTTGGAAGGTGCCAGAGTGCTGGCATGCCAGAAAAACAAAATGGAGGGCATGGGGTACATGGCAGGATGCCCTGCTTGTGCCCCTTGCCCCCCAGCCCGGGCTCTGGCTGTCAGCAGCTACCCGAGCTCTGGGTAGTTGCTGGAGCCCAGGCTGTTCCCAGCAGGGCTTGCAGTGTCTCAGCTGCCTGCTGGGAACAGCCCAGGCTCCTGGTTGGCAGCAACTACCCAGAGCGAGGGCTGGCTGCAGCCAGAAAGCTGCAAACAGCCGTGCCAGGCTCCACAGTTCTGGCCTCAGCTCCATGTGTGTGCAGTTGCCACCGGCATGGAGCTGATGCCAGATCTGTGTAGCCTGGCACAGCAGTTTGCAGCCTGCCTGCTGCTTGCTGCAGCTGCCTAGAGCCCAGGCTGGCTACAAACATCTGCGCCAGGCTCCAGAGCCCAGTCACTAGCTCTGTGCCAGGAGCAGGAGAGAGACCAGGGTTGCACTGCCTTAGGCCCCTCCCCCACTGCCCACTCCAAAGCGCAGGTGCACACGCTGGTACAGAGCTGATGCCAGGGCTCCAGAGCCCGGCACAGCTGTTTGGAGCCTCCCAGCTGCAGCCGGCCCCGGCTCTGGGTAGCTGCTGCCAGCTGGGAGCCCAGGCTGCTCCCAGCAGGCAGATGGTATGCTGCAAGCCCTGCAGGGAGCAGCCCGGGCTCTGTTGCTGGCAGCAGCTACACAGAGCCAGGGCTGGCCGTGGTGCGCCGAGCAAAATGGCTTTGCGTGCCGGGGGTTGCCGACCCCTTTTCTAACTAGAAACCAGTACAAATGATAGTCCCCCTCCTACTTCTAAAGCAGGACCTGTACACTTAACAGTCAGAAAAGTGACTGCTCCTGCTTCCTTAATGGTTGAGGATGCACACCTTTTGGGCTTTCCCACAAAGCATTTTTTTGCCTTTCAAAAAAAAGCAGCAAACTCACCCTTTCAGCATTACCAGGCTCAAGTTAATGTATATCTGTACACATAATATATGGTTAAATTCTAAAGATAGATGGATGACCAAAGGCACTTTTTTCCAGTCAACACCATAGGTGTGTGTTTTGGAAATTGCCCACTTTTTTTCTTCAGATGCACAATGAAATAAGGCACTATTTGCTTGGGTATTGTTGCTAGCCTTGGCCATTTTCAAGAGGCCCAGGCTAAGCTGCAGAAACAATGCTAAGCAGAGGGTCCAAAGCTTGTTTCCGAGTAACTGTAGCGCAAACCTTTGCAGATGTGACAACTAATGTGGTCTAGCAAGTAGAAAGGAAACCAAACACAATTAAACAAAGCACAAGGCCTGAAAGGAGATAATGAAAGACCACACATTAAATAATCTATATACACTACTGATGCAACCAAATGTATCAGATGTTATTTTGCTATACTAGATATATTTTTGTTAAAATGCTTATATAAATTTGTACAAACAAAAACAGTCTTGTCAGAGAAGACCATAAAGTAAAGTAAAGAAGAAAAAGGAACAGTAATCCACAATGGGGAAGGAAAGGAGACAAGATACCCTCCTTCCCAGGGATATGAATCCCAACTCACTGATATCCTTCCAAGTCTAAAAAAGATCTGGTTCAGTCCAGTTCCAAAAGTTTCAGTGAAACAAAGAAATGTAAATAAAACCAAATCAGAGATCATTTATTAGAATATTAAAACTAGCCATCTATAAATATTAGACATGAACTGGAGGGAAATTTGGAGAACTCAGAAAATTCAAGACGACCTGCTGCCCATCTGCATGCTACACTCCTCCCACTTCTCAAGTCTCCCCAGCTGGTACAGGTGAGAATCTATGTTGTGCTGTTGCAGGTAGTCAGATAGATTTTGGGATAAATGTCTGTTTTCATGTTTTAAAGGTGCAAGCAAATAAAAGGTTGGACGACCTGTTTCTGACTCTTATCAGTAGCCTACCCACAATCCGGGTAACAATATACTGCTGGCCTTCACAAAATGCAAATACACACCCCATCTTAGACATAAAATGAGCTGTATACACTTATAAATTTTTTTTTAAAGATAAATTAGCCAAAACATTATTTTTACTGTAAAATAGTAACATACTTTCTCTGTTCCTAAAGAGGCAGCTGAGAACAGCTAGTATATTTGTTTGAATTTTTTTGCTTTCCAGTGTTTCCACCACAAATAGTTAAGCTGTGGTTACATACTGAACTAGCCAGTATCTTCCTAAGTAAACTCATAAATGCTACAAAAGCTTGACAATTCCACTTCTAGAAATGTCATCTTTTGTGCATCCTAGCATGTGCTGGCTTTTGCTAATAATCGCTCCCAATTTTAGAACAAGCTCGTTCAGAAAATAAACCATTTTTGCAAAGATGGACTCTTGTCAACAAAAGCAGTTCTCTCTCAACCTTGAAATCTATTTGTATGACTTACTACAGAGACTATAGTTGGAACCATTTTTCAAGAAATGTTTTACTGAATGGATATAGGAATTACTCCCTGTGTTCTCTATAACATACTAGTTCTCTTTTTGGCACCAATTTTAGAAATAAAATGTGAATTACTTCCTTTCCTTACCTTGCTACGATGGATTCTGTCGGCAAGATGCCTGGAATATAATGAGCCAAAGGGGAAATGAAGTGTCCATTAAGGATCTTACAGTCTGATTGCTCTTCAACCTATGGCAGAAGTGGAAATGAGATGTGCATTTAATTTACCTCATATGATGAAGGCTGAGCATTCATTAACCCATATACTGTATACTCCAACCCTAGGCAGAAATACACACACACACACACACACACCCCTTCTAATATTTTTTAAATCATCACTGCAAGTATCATGTTATACAAGCATAAAAGAAAAAAGATCTTATCATAAGCCACTTGCACTTGAGCACCCAGTTATTAAAACAAAAATCAGGTAATTTACAAAAAGCATTTGACTTAAGACACTAAGTTCTGCCTATTTGTTTTTCAATTATTCAATAATGACATCTGTGTGCATCTCCCCCCTAAAAAACCCTGTTTCTGATAGATAGATAGGTAACTTCATGCTGAAAGAATAAGACAATGGCTATAAAGATGTCAAATCTCACCCTTAAGACTCAACTCTTTTGTGAGGTCTTTTAAAGCCTGCTGATGAGCAGGTATAACTGTTCAACTATTTATCCACTGTTTTCCCCATTCTTTCCTTTTTCCCTTTGATAATTCCCATATGGCAGTCATATCCCTCATTCTATCCATACCCTCAATTAAATATTTCTAGGGATGCAGGCACATAAACAAGTCACCATGAAGTAAGGGAGAATGCCACCTTGCAGCCAGTGAGCTGCTCCAAGGTCAATGACTTACTCACCTCTGTAGCAAGTATAAAGGTAGGTTTTTTCCCCTTGGGAGGAAAAAGCCATCTTACACTTACCATACAATAAGAGCATGTATATGGACAATTACCACAGAGTGCTGCAAGCTCGCTTGCTAGCTTACATTGCAGTAACTCATTTGGGGACTTGTACCTTTATTTACTGAACCAAGCCAGTCACTATGTCTATTTGCTTGTATACCATTCCCTGCCAGTTTGATAGTAAAAGTCCCTGCAGCAGGAAATGTTTATGCCTATGTAACAGCACTAGCAGTATCTTTTCCACCTCCAATCCAGTTGGTCTTTTTTTAAACTTACTTTGTTCTTTGCATTTCTTTGGTCTTTTACACCAAAGAACTCAGTGCCTCACCTTAGTCAGGAGCGAATACATCAGTAAAAGCAGTAAACAAGAGCCTCTACTTATCCCCATCACATTACCTTCACAACTGTTACCTCATAGCTAAAATCATGACCTGAATTCTGACTTCAAGCTGACAGCACACTGTACCCTGCATTAGGACAACCCCCCCACAAACATAGCATTCCATGAAATATATACATCTAAGATTCATTTAACAGAAGATAGCTTTTCAGAAGCAAGTATAAAGGTAGGTTTATACTTGCTACTTATTTCTGTTAATAGCTTAACAGAAACAGTAGCTTTTCAATAGAAAGAGCTTTCCAAAACCTAACTTCCTTTCACCTATATTATATCTAGTTTGTTTTAATTCCAGATGCATTTTTTTGCTTTTGAATACCTTGTCAGTGAACACTGGATAATCTCTTGAAACCAACTTCTGACATTTTTCCCTGTTTCCAATAATCTTTCTGAATTCAAATATTCTGTTAAAAAGAAAAATAGAGACAGTCAGGCCTAATCACTGAATGTTATGACATCAGTAGATACACCTATGTCAGAATTGCTGTAAACTTCCTTACATGTTACAAGCTAAACTAAGATATAAAAGCACTAAATCTTTTAATCTGTTACCAGTTTGTCATTTCTGGACTACCCAGACAGGTGTGAACTAGATCTGTTTACTTTATTGAAAGGATTTATTTTAGAAAGACTGCTGAAATAGTTTCAAGTGCACATATAGGTTTAACCATTTTAAACATGGTTTCATGTCTTTTGTTATGAAAACTAACTTCAGATTAAGACTGTCTGGGCATTCCAGGCTTGTACCTAGGACCCCAGCTCCAGGATCCATAGAACAACATCAGAAGTTCATTTTCCTTCAGAAAAGATTATTTAGTTCTTACTGTTACAAAGAAACATAGGAACATGTTACATGAGTAACTGATGAGTACCTGAATTTTCAGAGTGTTTGTAATAATAGGGCTGAGAAAGACAATATAACTTCTAATCTGTAGTATAATTTCTTTTTTAGTTGATATTTATAATGTTATATAATTTTGATCTGAATGATAGCAAAAAGTGCAGATGTATTGTAATACAACCCATTTTGAACCCTTATTTCAGATGCATATAACTGGAAAACTCTGAAAAAAAGGTTTCAGGTGTCTTGGCCTGATCCTACAATTAAGTTATTCAGAGGCAAGTTCCTCCAAACTTAAAATATCTCTGTGGCTTTTTCCTCAAAATGGAAAGTTATTTCAATGTTATTGACTGTTTTTCAGTTTACTATTTAAAATTATTTTGAGTAGAGAAGACATCATTCTGTTTCAGTAAAAGAACTGACTGCTTTACTAAGATGGTACAGTGTTCACAGATCTCATAGAAAATAAACTCTCCAACAAGGATTTTTTTCCTCATTCATGTGTGTCGTAATGACCTTGATTTCCAGGATGATGATCTTTTCCACTGCATGCAAGCCCATCTCTGAAATTTTTCTCTATTCTATTTGCACCAGATAGAGAAAGTGACCGACAAGGTTGAATAGAATTTAAGTTAGCTGGTATTGTGCCAAAATTCTCAAAGAGTTATGCTATACAGCAAACCAACAATCAAATGAGTATTAACCACATACTTGAGTTTCAATGTTAAGAAATACTCAGTAAGCTAAGAATGGGCATTTATAGCACTTGGGATAATTTAAGAGCTACTAAACTGCTGTATAAGTTTCGTACATATTTTTTTCCAATTCAGAATTAAACAAGTAAAGTTGAGATCAGAAAACTTTCAACCCCTCTTTAGACTACATACTGGCAAGACTACCCATTACAAATCAATGTTAATGGCTATCCAATATAAAACACAAACTCTGTATTTACTCCAGTGGAATTTAATGAAGACTGAATCTAGCCCGTTATCTTTAATCTGTTAACAACTATTCACAGTATGAAGAAAGCTCAGTCTTAATATTCAAGAAGAATTTGAAGGCAAGTAACAAATCACCAGGAATGCCAAATTAAAAATAATTTTAACCTCCTGATTTCCAATGCTTTGTTTTCTCTGAATGTTGGTTCTAAGTTAAAAAATAGAACCACACAAGCACTAAAAAAATCCTTCATTTTGGAACTTCACTTACCATATTTTCATGCATTTAACACGCCTTGTTTTTGAAAAGCATTATGAAGATTCCCTCCCCCACCGTAGTTATGGCTGCAGGGACAGAGCCTAATCTCAAACTCATCCTCCCTTTCCTACTTAACTGAAACTGCAGCCCTTACTGAAGATTGGCCTCCCTGTGTGAACTTGTGCTCTTGAAAAGAGCTAAAGAGCTATGAAATCCAACAGGAGACCATAAGCCCTAGAAGACAGCAAAACTGCCCTAAAAAGATTAGTTTCATTAGTGGAATAACTGTTCAAAAGGAGATGATTGTAAAGTGTGAAGCTGGGACAATGACCCCCTCAGCTACCTGTATAGCAATACCAAAACTGATGCATGGAGAAGCACCCTGCTTTAATTCCTGCTCCAATCTCCCCAATCACCCCTGCTTAACACACACCACCCAATTTGAGTGGAAATGTGAGTGCTGTATGAGAGAAAATACAAAAACTCTTTAAAATACCTTATACTGTTAATGCCAGAATTAAGAGTAGTTGCAACAGATTAGGAAACTATTTTGCTAGGCACCACATAAAAGAGAAGACAAAGTCTCAACAAGCTTACAACTAAATAGAGCTAGTCAAAAAATCTTTTTCAGTCACCCAAACCTTCTGCACAAATGTGACTGATATACATTTTAAATGGGGCTGGTAAGATCAAAATAGTCTATTCAGAAAAGTATTTGATATTACACAGTGTAGAAGCTATATTAAGAGACTGCAATCAAGATGTTTTACAACAAGGTGCTTTAAAAATAAAATTTGAAACAAATCTTTTCAATAACGCAAAAAATTCCTGCAAAACAAATCCACTTCTTGCAATGCTCTCCAGAAAGGAAAACCAAAGCTAACACTGTATATACCCATCTACCCACAAAAAGCAGCAACATTATTTAATTCCCATTTTGAAATAGAACAACTGGTAAGCTTACTTATAAAGCTCTCCTGGGAAGTCTCAGGTAAAAATTTACATCCCCACCAACCTTTGCTGCAGGCAAAAACTTCAAGGTTAAAATCAAGATGATATACACCAAGTTGTTTGCAGTGCAAAATTATATAAAATATTAAATTACTTCAAAAGTTCTCAAGTTTTAAAAACTGTTTTCTTAATGTTAAGAAGCTTGTACACATTCAGTTGCTTATTATTTAAACTTTAAAAAACCAAGCGTTTCACTTCACTTCAAATTACTACCCTTAAGAGGTTTTAAAGTAAATCAATTCAGATATTTAATGTTAAAAAAAAACCATTTCCATACAGTTTTAAAGAACTTTAAAACCCCACAAAGCAAGAGCTCTTTCCAAAGAAAGATTTTTCTAACTTATTAAAAACAATGTATTTGTAAAAAAACATAATCACTTTTTTAAACAAGTCAGTGTCACTTACCAAGTGGAGAAACAAGATACACATCTAGCCTAAATTATCCATTTCAAAATTTATATGGGAAAACTAACTTATTTTTGAGAGAGAAAAAGAAAAGAGAAAGTTGTAATTAAGTTTTACAGACATCACCCTTGGATAGTACAGATCTTTCTAAAAGTTATCTTTTACTAGTATGTGGAAGTTACCATTAACTGGACTCTTCCTCTATAAAAAATGCATTGTTTAATTATTTCATATAGACTTTCCTTAACACAAAATAAACTTTAACTGGTAAATGCACTTTAATCAATACAAATATTAAGTTTCTGATGTTTAATGACTCCAGCGGTGTGTTATGCATTACTGGAAACCTAAAACTAAAATGTTGTATGTGTCTAATAGTTAAACATATGTTAATATCTGTGAAATACAATTAAACAACATTGTTAAAAAAAAAAAACACAGAATATTTCATAGCAAAAAAACAGTCACCTTTTCAGGTCCTCTGGCTTTCCCCATCCTTGGATGAAAAGTTTTGTGAGGAGAAGGCGTCTGTATAAAACATCTAGTTTACTCAAACCCATTAGCAGCAAACTGACATCTAGAAGGAAAAAAAAAAGTAAGAGCAAAGCAGTACTACAAAAGGGTTTCTTTGCAGATTTCAAGCTAAAGCATACTAGCCTTCACCTCTGAAATCCTGGCTTGAACACAACAGTGCAGTCGTAATAAACATTAAACTGATTTTGACAAGACGGTTAATCATGATCTCTAGGATATAGATAAAGCCATGTAATATACATCTTGGCCTTTACTTTATGTAAAGCTCCATGCCAGTTTCTAGCAAGCTAGCATTTGGAATCTTCTGGTATAAACACAAACTAGAAAATGATAGATATGCTGCAATTTAGGGGTGCACTGATAAAGATTTTCTTCGCCGATACCAACAGCTAATTATTAACCAGGCATATTGCACAATACCAATCCAATAACCAATACTGACAGTGGGTTGAGTCACGGTGCAGGTGGAGTCATACTTGGCTCCGCCCACCCCTCCCTGCCCTAATCATGTCTGCGGCATTCGGCACCTTTTACATGACCCGCCCTGGCCCCATCCTGCAGTCCACACCACACCAGCACCCAGGACACTGCAACAGCTGCTCCGCTCCAGACCAGCTTGGCCCACCAGTGAGGGGATGGAGGTGTATCCAGGGTCATCCCAGCTTGTGGGAGGGAACCCAGGTGTCCAGGGCCCCAGCCAGAAAGCATAAATTATCAGAAAAGGTTTCCCACTACAACAGCCAAAAAAAAGCTGACAGCCAATAATGTAAATTTCCCTTTTACCAGTGCCGGTCCCTTCCAGCCCAAATCTCTATGAAATCCAACAGGCAACTGATATATCGGTCCACCTCTACTGCAATTCACTTATACCCATATTTACTTTTATGAATTTGAGTAGCCCTAATGGTTTTATAGGGTCCAAGGAATCAATGAATAGCTCAATGTCCAGCTGGGCACAGGTATCAAATGGGGCTCCCCAGAACATCTGTCCTGCATCTGGTATTGTTTAATATCTTCATTAATTATCTGGATAATGAGACTGAGTACACACTTAGCAAATCTGTGGACAGCACCAAGTTGGGTAGAGTAGCAAATACTTTGAATAGTAGGGTTAGGATCCAAAATGACCTGAATGGATGAAAGAAATGGTCTCTAAATCAAATCAGATGAGATTCAACAAGGACAAATGCAAACTCTTGCACTTGGGATGGAACAATTGCGTAGAGTTTTCTGAGACTACCACCGCTTATTTTTTCCTTCTCCACAAATCAAGAGTCTTAAGTCCAACAGGCCCAGCAAAACAGAGTCCCACTGAAAGACAGTTAAGCTTATAGAACCTGTACGAACTTTAAAGCAGGACTGTATTTTGAACACCTGTACAATCTAACAGCTTTTGTAATGCTACCATTTTAAAGAACTATTGTGCTGGTATAAATTAAACTTGTTCCTAATGATAATACAAATCTTATCTGTATATTACTACCATTACACTGGCACTTGTGTTGGCACAGTTACACTAGTTTGGGTTGTAACTTTTTTCATGCTCCTAAACTATACAAGTTTTGCCTGCATATCTATAGAACAGGACTTGATAAAAAAACCTGTGCAAGTTGGAAGACAGGAAAAACATTTATAATTTTAAGCCGTTAGGAAAATAACCAATTTAAAAAGTTATTTTTCCATAACGAATTAAAAAAATTGAAGTCACTGATGGTGTGACAGTTTATTCTGCAATTTATTTTTACCAGTATTTTAGAACCTAACCCTCTCTACCACTCTGTGCTGTCCTTTAATTTCTGATTCTCTGTCACATTCTAGGGCAATGTTTCCCACACTTCTAAAAGCAAAGCTTTCTCTACAGAAAACCATGTCATCCAAATGCTTTATAGCATGATCTTCCTTTGAGCAAAATGGGGAAGCTTTCCCAAAATAGTTTAATTACCAGAGAGTTTGCCAAAAATCCTGGTTATACAGTTTAACTTACTGAAATGAATAGGGAGCCACTTCTATTTTCTTGGTAGTCAAAACAAGAAGTTAGGTCTGGCACACGTATCTCTCACAAAGGAAAACAGATTCTTCCAACAGAAGTTCTGGGCTTTTTCCTATCCAGAAGAACACAAAAACACAATTAATTATAGGACAAGTTTATAATACTATGGTATTATATGAAACGGGTATCAATGTAAGCAGGGTAAATAAAGGTAACTTCATCTCTCCCGCTTAACATTGCCAAATCTGTACCTACCACATTATCTATTTACAACCTCTATTTACCTGGTTGTAGTCCAGAGGTGGGAAAAAAACACAGCCTGTGGCAGGCCCCTTGGGCACTCTCTGGCCCATGGCACATTCTGCCACACTCTGGGTACACAGCGGTGCTGGGACAGCTCCACAGCTGGCCTGCCTTTCTAGGCAGCCCAGGTGGTGGCGGCTCCTTCCAGCTGCTCCCAGCCCCGCGGTACTGGCAGGGGCTCAGCTGTACAGCCCTAACCCTGGCCCACCCCACTCCTGCTCCAGACTGCCTGGCAAAGCAGACCAGCCAGAACCTGTGCGCACAATCCCAACTTGGCACGCCCCACACCTGCTCCAGACTCTCCCCTATCACGCTGAGCAGTGACAGCAGCCAGGCAAACGCTACTGTTCAGTACGGGGGAAAAAGCGCCCCCACTCCCCCTTCGCTGCTGCCAGGTCCTTCTTGCTGCAGCAGGCCGGCATGGGCTCTGGGCAGCTGCAGCAAGAAGGACCTGGCAGTGGTGGGGGTGAGCGAGGAAGCACTTTTTCCCAGGCCCAGCAGCAGTTTCTTCTTACCTGCTGCTGCTGCTCAGCATGGCCAGGCAGTCCAGAGCAGGTGCAGGGCAGGCCAGGTTGGGGGTTCACACAGATTCCATTTGGTTCAGAGTTGGTCTGCTCCACCAGGCCAAGTCCAGAGCGGGTATGGGGCAGGCCAGGGTTGGGGCTGTGTGCAGGTCCCTGCCAGTACCATGGGGCTGAGGCCACTGGCAGTGGCAACCAAAAGGGGCCACTGCCACTGCCTGGGCTGCCTAGGAAGTTGGGGCAGGCCAGGATCAGAGCTGTGCGCTGTTGATGGTGGCACATAGGCTCCAGGCTGTTGCAGGGGGAAGGAGGCACTGAGCTGAGTGGCAGCTCCCCAAAACCGTCTATCTGGCCCATGAACCCAAATAATTGCCTGCCCTGTTGTAGTCCCTTTATTTACCTGGTCTTTACTGAAGTACAGCTAACTCAACTTCCCCATCCACACTCTAGCTGCAAGCTCTTTTAAACATAAAAAAATGCTTATGAGTGCATTTCAATTAATATTGCAATATATTGCATTTTTACTATGCTGTGATCCAAGGACTGCAAATATAAATATTAAATTAAGAATCAAGGCACAGAAACCTAAAACATTTAATGCTCTTGCTGTAATCAGAATCCTGAAACTGAAAAAACCCCCACCCTGTGCATAACAAACGCATACTTATGCCAGAGAACCAGCATCAAATTTTAAAAAGTTCCATCATAAAATTGAAGGAGCAAAAATAATTTAAACAACCGGAAAGACGAAAGTCAAAGTTCTGCTCTCCAGTTTTATGAAGCATTAGCTCCTACAATCTGAAGTAGCAAACGTTAAAATTATTTTGTTTGGATCAGAATCCTGCTTGGTTAACTCACTCAAATGTCTTGCACCTCATCCTTTTTTTTTTTTTTTTTTTTTTAACTGTTACCTCAAAGACCTTTCAAAACAAATTATTTTATAAGATCAAGATCTATCCATTTCATTTCAGGTATTGCAGAAGCCAGTGCAAGGTGTACATGGAGGGCCATCAGAACAACACACAGTTAAGATTAAAAATTTTCCATTACACCTGGGCTAATAGCCTACTTTAGTTCACCAACACAAATGTATTCAGAATCCAGGAGATATTCTCCTTATCCACAGAAAGAAGAGATACCAACAGATTTGCTACAAGTGAAGAGAAAAAGAGCTTCACACCATAAATGACAAGATATCACTCTTTCTATGACTGGAATGTGAGGCAACATAGATATCCAGCAAGTTGAACAAATACATTTTCATAAAAGAAACATCACTGGTAAATTAGATGTCACCACTAGAGGCTCATCTTTTAATAAACTGAGTTTTGGCAAAATTTAGCTACAGTGAATCACTAGAAGAACTGCTCTGAACCCATCTGACTGTGATAACACACATTAGAAGAAGAGTAAAAAAAGGCAGTAGGTCCATGTTACTTTTATTAGTTCATAGTGTTTGGGGCATTAGTCATGAACTAGAAATCTACCCTGCACAGCACTGTACAAACACAGATTAAAGTGACAGCCTCTGCCAAAACAGCTTACACAAGAAACAAAATGCATGGATTCAGACAGTCAGGGGAGAGGATGGAAACAGTGAATAAATATTGGCCAATATAAAGGGCAGTAGCCTTGAACATGAGCTACCTTACCATGGTTAAGGTTTCTGTACCTATTGCAATAAAGGTTTCCCTTGCTTTATGCTGTACATGAGTTCCTGGAAAATAGCACATAAATCAAACCCGGATAAAGGGAACCCACTTTACAATGTAACAACGTAGGGATGCATTCCAAGAACGACTATACTGACCCCCAGGCCCATCTCCACCACTTTTACAAGACAATTTTGGTACTCACCAACTGCAGACAGTGCCCCATGCTTGTGTGTACTGTCATAATGGGGATGGCAACTACAGAAACGCATGTCACAGGCAACGAGCGAGGAGCACAGATCCACACAGGAGACTATTTTGGTGCATGTCACTCCCATAATGCACCACACAAAGCAGCTGACTGTGGGCTTCCACCACATCAGTTGAATAAGAGTGGATGTACCTCACATATAACAAATTTTTGGTATTAAAAGGGTCATCTCATAAGAGCAAATTTGCACATACAGAACTCACGTAAAAGTGAGGGAAACCTGTAAAGAAGATTCTTAATGAATGATGGAAAAGGTGATGAGATGTTTTGCAGTGTTGAGGGGGAGTTCCATTCAATTATATGGGCCAGAGCGAGAGAAAGCAAGGTACTGAAAAGTATAACAAGTAGCAGATGAAGGTTGACACACCAAAACAATCTTCTGGACAACTGGAGTATGTTTAAATACAAATTAAGAATATAACTCTCTCAATGCCCGTTAACTATTTGAAGTCAAAAGTGGACAGAAGGAATACAAGATCCCTCACTGGAAAAGTTCAAGAAAGAAGAGAGCAACAGGAATGATTCAGTCTGGAAAATATGACCTATACAGCAAGACACTGAAAAGATAAATAGGTCTTAAATAAGGATAGATTACAATTCAATCGTAAATACAAAAGTAAGGAAGACATTGCAGATATTAAAAAAGCTCATTCATTTACCACAAAAGGACATAAAGAAACCAACAGATGAAAGCTGAAACTAGCCACATTTCTGCTGAAAATAAAATACAAGTTTTGAAGAGCAAAAGTAGCTGGACATCTGCTCAACTTGCTTCAAGTTGTAGCAGATTCTCTGTTACTAGCAGTCTAGTACTTTAGATAAAGATATACTATACAAACTGAACTTTGGGTTTGATGCAGAAGTTACCAGGTGAGATTCTCTGACCTGCATGATGAACATCAAGTCTGACCTCCTCTATGATGGTCCCTTTTGGTTTTAAAACCTGTAAGCTTACTCTAAGATATGACGAAAAACTTCCAGTTTAAAAGAGGAAAAGAGAAGTGACCAATGAAGAACAACTGATTGACAAAAACCTGCATCAAAAGCAATGTTTTGACTAGAAGAACATTTTCAAAGGGGGAGGAGGGGTAACTTTTTTGGCAGATGTGCCACAAGTTAGCCCAGCATCCTCCCCAAGTACCACTCCAATCCCTTTCCCCCCCTCCCTATACCTGATCTAATACTCTATTTTCGGCACCCTGCCAAAGCTGCAGCTCTTCTCTCTGCCTTTGCTCCCTGCCTAATTTGATGCTCTGCTTTCTGTCCTTGACCTATCTGCCACTGCAGTACCCATCCTTTCCTTAGTCTGCCATGCCGCAGATTGGCTACCCCTGCTTTAAAATATTTCTCATGCATTTTAAAGTGACTGAAGTTTCCTAATACTTAAAAATTTAATTCAGTCAAATGTTCTGAACAGAGCTGGTGAAGGAGAAGCCTATGTTCACAAAGGACACTACTACAAAACACTATGGGGATGTAAAAATTACAGATTTAATAATATTCTACTCATAGGGCATGTCCAGACGAGCATGCACATGCCTCTTGCCCCGTCTCAA